TATGCTGAAGGGCAGAGTCTCATTTGGGGTGGTAGACAAATCCAACCCCGTATGCACGGAGTCTAAGGGCAATTTCTGTCCGATCCTACGGCTACGGAATGCCCTGCGTTAAAAACTGGCCTTGTGCCACACCTTGCCTTGTGGGGGAGATTGGTAAATAGAGAGAGTTTTTAAATGGGTCAAAGCTCGTCACCGCGTTCGAAATATCCTGTTGCTGAAAATTAAGATCATTACCGGGTTGTGACGGACTTCTAGAATTTCTGGTTTATTTTCTAAACAATCCACCACTTGTCAGGATTTTTTTCTTCAATGTAGTTTACTGAAAGCGTGAAACTTTCTTATCTTTACCCTTGAATGAATTTGACCTCTAAAGTTTTCCTGTTTCTGTTTCATGCTTTTAGTGCTAGGATCTGTCTCTTTGTAATCTATCTCAGCCCATTCATTATCTATCTTCTATATCTTCATTGACTTCCTTTATTTCTACTTGTCTCTCTACATTATCACAATCTATTCGTTATATACATGGTGGACTCTCCCGTCGTATTCATGTTTCTAGGTGGTGAAGGCTTTGTCCAGAACCAACCATACTTTTTGAAGGGCCGAATACAGAGGTTTTGAATTCGGAGTTGCCCATCCAAGGACATAGAACCCAGTCTGTCTTGCTATTTACCCATAGCTGGAAGGAGAAGAAAAGGATTCATATCATCGTATTCGCACGTAAATGAATTTAATGAATTCGACTGGAATTATTTCTCAATCCGAGTACTACACTACTCCACCGTGCCTCCATATATAATTTTTGATTTATATATAATAAGCGCGGTACTTATTGGAAAGCGCTCAATATTGGTGATAGAGCTAATATATATATATATATATATATATATATATATATATATATATACACTGACGCTTTCAAGTTGCCTGTTCAGTTTCTTGATATTGAGATAAATTTCATCAAGAAAAGTGCTGTAGTTGTTTCTTAATCCAAGTACTTTCGACCTTTTCTAAGATCATTTTCAGGTATAAGCTACAGATATGAAAAATTGGCTAGCAAAAATGTGGGGATGCGTGAGTGTAGTGGTGTTTGCACATATACGTGTTTGTGTGTGTTTACATAGGTGTATGTGTAAATATATATATGCATATATCCCTCCCTCTGTGTGTGTGTGTGTATATATATATATATATATATATATATATACGTACATATATTTAGGCAGTATATTTTCATTTAGACATGTTTTTGAATAATAAATATAGACATATTGTGCCGACTTATTTTTATATTGATCCTTTCAAGTTGTCCAATCAGTTTCTTGATATTAAGATAAAACTCATCAAAGAAGGCAGCGTAGTCTTTTTTGTTACCTGTTAACATTTGTCTATTTGACATTGAGCTTTTAATGTCTTTTCCATAAAATGATTTCAAGCATTGATAGCTTTTACTTTGTCATTCATTCCTCACCATTTCGAGCCTTTACAGATGAAAATAAAAATAAATATAAAATTATATAAATATAGTTTTAATTCTATCGCCTCATAAGAACAAAGGAGGCAAAGTGAAGACAAGCTTTGAACAAAATTGAGACGTCTAAGTTTTTTTCTTTTTCATTCTTTTGGTCCAATTGATAAAAAAAAGAAAGAAAAATAGTTCCTAACCATATATGGTGAAGGTCTTTTACAATAACATACGACTGAATATCCTTACGCCTTTTAGATTCAACAACACTCATATCCTCCTAAGCGAATGGACAATATCAATTAAAAAAGTAGTCCCCCACTCCTAAAAAAAAAAAAAATGAAAAACTAAAAAAACAATAAAGGCAGATCTGATCAATTTCTTGATGTTAAGATGAAATTCATCAACGAAAGAACCGAAGGATCCTTGCCTTCAGTTCATTTTTGGTGTTACAAGGAGTTTTGCTAGTCTCTCACTCAATTGCGCCCCACACATAGTAATCAAGGTAGTTAGGTTAGGAGTGATGCGGTCGCAGAAATTGTCTGACAGCCATGACTGTGTTCTCCTGCTTGTGTGGCATGGTGCAGAATCCTGTTGACAGACATAGGGTCTTCCAACGGCCACCCTTTTGAACTAAGGCAGCGCTAACTCCTCAAGGCACTTGATGTAGGCCTCCGTGTTGAGTCTGAGGCCATCACCAAGAAATAAAAAAGATTATACATGTTGTTTTAATTCTATCGCCTTATAAGAACAAAGGAGGTAAAGGGAAGCCAAGCTTTGAACAAATTTGAGATGTCTAAGTTTGTGTTTTTTTTTTTTTTTTATTCTTTTGGTCCAATTGATAAAAAAATAGTTCCTAACCATGTATGGTGAAGGTCTTCTACAATAACATACGACTGAATGGGTAATATCCTTACGCCTTTTAGATTATCAACACTCATATCCTCCCAAGCGAATGGACAATATCAATTAAAAAAGTAGTCCCCCACTCTTCAAAAAACAAATAAATAAATAAAAGTAAAAAATATATATAAAAAAAAAAAAAAAACAAATGAAAAAGGAAAAATTAAAAATCAATAAACGTAGACCTTTGAGTAAAATACCCGAGTAAGACCCCTTTCATGACCAGTACGACGGAGTAATGGATTGAGGAATCGGGGAGCCGAGTTCGAATTCCAGTCAAATCCATTACATTCACTTGTGCTAATAAATATCCTTGGGGAAGGTATGAATCCACTTCTTCGCCCCCCCCAGCTCTGAGTAAATAGCACGACAGACCGGATTCTATAACCTTGAATGGCAACTGGTCTACCGCAGAAAGAAATGGAAACCTACTGCGGGAAAAAACATTGCCTTGTCAGTCATGTATCGAAAGATACATGATCGCCTAAGCGTGTATCACGCATGACACATAACTGACTGACAAATATATACATATATCCTCATATATACATTCATATCCTCCCAAGCGAATGGACAATATCAATTACAGAAATAGTCACTCATCCCTGGGGTGGGGGGAAGAAATATTTAAAAAGGCAGTCATTTTAACCTTTGAGTAAAATACCCGTATGAGACCACTCTCGTGACCAGTGCAAAAATAAAAAATAAAAAAAAAAGAAAGAAAGAAAATTCAGATAGAAAAGGTCTTGAGTGAAACGATTCACCTTGCTGCACTGGCTGACACGCTGGAGTCCGTTCTGAAAAAGGCGGGTGTCAATGTGGCGCGATTATTTGCCATCTGATTGTATGCATGAAGCCACAAGAAGAATGGTACCGGAAAAGACCCGAGCCTTGCTAGAATCAATTAAAAGAAACAGACGACAAATGCGCGTTCGGTATAATCCGACTGATTGACGAGCATTTGCAGATATAGCTCGGGGATTAGAGCGTAGGATTACAAGTAAAATAAATCCGAGGTTCTGTTACCGTGTGGGGAAAATAGATTGACAGTTCTTGTTATTTATTTTATTATAGCCATTAAAACACTCATTATCGGGAAACAAAGCACAAGGAAAAGAAAAAAAATTATAATTAATTAGAATTTTTTTTTATAAATAAAAAAAAAACAAGTCGATTTTGCTTCCTCACTCTTCAGAATTCAATTGAGGACTGAAAATGAGTGTAAACAGAGATTAAATTCGGAAAATTAATGAAGATTTACGCATATTGATAATATGTCATTCTTTTTAGTTATTTGCCGTGTCTCTTCAGGACGTAAGCGATCATGGTATTAGGACAGACTGTCGAAAGACAAAATGACGAATGAACAAAATGTCGAACGGATTAAGTGACGAACGAACAAACTGTCGAATAGACAAAGTGCCGAGCGGATAAAAAAAAAACCGTCGATCTGACGAAATGATCAATGGACATAATGTAAAAAAAAAAAAAAAAAAAAGTTTCAAAAGGAAATATCAGCCCGACCAAAGAGCTTGTACAAAACAAAATACTGATGTTTAGTCATTTATTCAAATTTTGGAAAGTGAATCAGGCCGGGTACTATTCAGCACATCTTGAGATTACTAATTATGCTGGACATAAAGTGGGGGATCGGTTTTCACTTGATATTAAGTAGTAAACTGATCCCCCACGATTACTATATATATGACAATATCAGCCCGACCAAGGAGCTTGTACAAAACAAAATACTGATGTTTAGTCATTTATTCAAATTTTGGAAAGTGAATCGGGCCGAATACTATTCAGCACCTCTTTAGATTACGAATATAATTATGCTGGACATAAAGTGGAGTATCGGTTTTCACTTGATATCAAGTAGTAAAGTGATCCCCCACGAATTACTATATAACAGTATAAGGGGAAAAAAACAAGCAAGCAATACCTTTATGTTGGATGTAGAACCAAAGTCACCATAGAAAGATCCAGTACTTACCTAAAATAAAAGAAGAAAATATAAGATTTATCATAAAGCATGAAAGAATAAACATCAAGTTTACTTTTATTTTTTTTATAATCAATTCGCCCCAAGCAAGGCTATAATGCCACCAAGACGCAAGAGAATGAAAAGACTTTAAAAGCAATCGGAAACACAGTCCTAAAACATGAAACAAGGTATAAACCTTTACTAGTGTTCAGAAGACAAGTGTGAACCGGGCGACAGGCTAACCTCTCTACGACCATTGAGGAAAAATAAATAGTAAATAAAATTTCAGAGTTTTGTCGGTGACGTGAGAATTACAGAGTTGGAGTAAAATTTAGAAGCAACCAGAAATTCTAAACAGGAAACAAGGGATAAGCCTTTATTCCTGATCAAAAGACCCGGTAGGAGTGTAAACCGGACGATAGGCGAACCTATCTAATCCTATTAAATCTATGTCTGTTGCCGTCTGTAGATGTAGATTTTTATGGAACGAATAAAATCGCCAAACTTTACTTTGGAAATATTGTCCATAATAATAATAATGGTTCACGTGAAACTGTTCCGTCCTCACGCAAGGATATGACATGTTCACGGTGTTTGCTTTTTGTGTGATTAAATTCAAAATACGAATTCCTAAAAGGCGTTTTCACATCGTCAAGAACATAGTGTGTGTGTGTGTGCGTACTGCGAACGAATTGGCACGGGGCCACGTACTGTGAACGAATAGGCACGGTGGCACGTACTGAGAGCGAATAGGCACGGGGGCACGTACTGAGAGCGAATAGGCACGGGGGCACGTACTGCGAACGAATAGGCACGAGGGCACGTACTGCGAACGAATAGGCACGGGGGCACGTACTGAGAGCGAATAGGCACGGGGGCACGTACTGCGAGCGAATAGGCACGGGGGCACGTACTGCGAACGAATAGGCACGGGGGCACGTACTGCGAACGAATCGGCACGGGGGCACGTACTGCGAACGAATAGGCACGGGGGCACGTACTGCGAACGAATAGGCACGGGGGCACGTACTGCGAGCGAATAGGCACGGGGGCACGTACTGCGAACGAATAGAAATTGGTTACGTACTGCAGACGAATGGGAACGTGGTACCTACTGCGAACGGATAGGAACGGGGTACCTACTGCGGACGGATGGGAACGTTTTACGTACTGCGAACGGTTCGAAACTGGGTATGTACTATGAACGAATAGGAAAGGTATACATTATGTAGATACAATTGACTTTAACACTATTCGGGTACATTTGCTAACATTTATTAGCAGGAAGAAGAAAAATAAATAAATACATAACTTTCCTTGTGTTTAAAGATATCTTTTTCCAGATTATGTTTTTGCTGTTATAAACATTTTTTTAACAAAATCATCTGAGACTTACAGCCAAGAAAATAACCAGATACCTTGACATTATATAATTACTGGATATTTGTTTTATTAAAAAATACAACCACTATATAAAGCAATAACATTTCTTGTTATAAGCATTCGATCATTAAATAGTCACTTCTAAGCATTGTTTCCATCGTCATATGCGTTAAAAGATTCCATAATATTTTTCCATTCACATTATGAACTTGGATCAAATGTGGATTGGAATCCAACAGAATGATACTATAAGGAACACAATCAGAGAATTAAATATGGAGAAGAAAATTCTGCTCTTTATAATTTTTGTGTTTGTTTTTCATCGGTTAAGCAGATTTCACGTGCACCTGTCATGTAAAGCAGCGTCTGCATGTATAATTCATGCATGTATGTATATCATAATTCTAGTGTGATTTTTTTTTTTTGCTTTTGTGTGTGTGTGTGTGTGTGTGTGTGTGTATTAGGCATTTCTAAAGGAAATTCTGCTATTTCTATTTTCCGTGTTTGTTTTTCATTGCTTCAGTAGACCTCACGTGAATCTGTCTTCTCAAGTAGCGTTCGTGATTATAATTCGGGTCTATTATAATTCTAGTTTTTCCCTGTGGGGTTATGTGCTTGTGTGTGTGTGCGCGCGCGGGCGCGCTTGTCTAGTAAGCAATTTTATCCAGGTTTGGTTGCTGTCCGAATGGGGCCGTTCTGTGTGAGGATGAAATAATTTAAGTTACACCGGTTATGGTAGCAGGTAGACTTGTCCTAGATTTTTCAAGCATTGGATTTTATAAAAGAATCAGAGTTAAAGCGAGAGGTTTAGTGACGTGAGGTTTTGAAGTTCAACAGAATTTGTGTTTTGAAGAACTCAATTTTTGGCCTTAATTGGAATTTCGGCTCAAATCGGGCTTTTGGTAGAGGAATTGGACTTATGCCCGGAATCAGGGTTAAAGTGAGGTTTTGAAGTTTCATGGAGTGAATTTAGGAATTCAGTTATTTCTTCAAAATTATCATTGCTGTTTTATAAACTGGACAGAAGGTCCCTTTATTTTTTGTGCCAGAAGCCCAATTAGCCCTCCACAGAAGCCAGCTTAAAAGGTAGCACGGAGTGCGGCTTTCAAGCTAGTATACGAGGGTCATTCAATAAATAAGGTGAATTTTTCGGTATAAGGACTTCTAATACAGATAGAAGCTTACTTTTTTTGTTTTACTTCTTTTTCACATGGATTTAATTTCTTTTGCAGATAAAAAAAAAAAAACTTTGATAATTTTGGTGATTATCAAAGATGGCCGACCAAGAAGCATGCTCCAGGATTGAACAGCGTTTTTGGTTGCTGAAGAGTGCAAACCAGTTGAAATTCATAGGAGAATGTCAACTGTGTATGGTGCCACATGTTTCAGCCAAAAAAAATGTCTACAAGTGGGCTAAATTGTTTAAAGAAGGACGGAGCAGTGTTGAGGATGAAGACAGGCCTGGGAGGCTTACAGAAGTGAGGTCTCCTGAGGTGATCGAATCAGTCAATGACCTCATTCAGTCTGATAGAAGAACTACTGTGAACTGCTGAGGCAGGTCAAGAAAGACAAAGAACAAACGCAGGGGTCATCAGTCAGAAGGAGTCATCTTGCATCATGACAACGCAAGGCCTCACACAGAAGCCCAAACGGTGCAGACCATCAACAAGCTGGGCTGGGAACTGCTCCCTCATCCCCCCTTACAGCCCAGACCTTGCCCCTTCAGACTTTCACTTGTTTGGTCCTTTGAAAGCGTTCACGAGAGGCACGAAGTTTAAAAGTGATGATGAAGTCAAAAGTGTTGTGAGCGACTGGCTGAGACATCAGTCCAATGATTTTTACGCTGAGGGAATACGAAAGCTTATGCACAGATGGGAAAAGTGTGTGACAGTGCTGGGAGACTACGTTGAAAAAAAAAAAAGTAAGCTTCTATCTGTATTAGAAGTCCTTATACCGAAAAATTCACCTTATTTATTGAATGACCCTCGTATATAAGCTAGTGCTTCACCGTTTATACTTACTCCCGTTCCGTCCCAGTCCGGTACAGACTTTCAAGTCTGGCTGTAAATACAACGAAGTACTAACAATTTAGAAACAGCATAACAAGCAAAGGAAAAAGCTATAGGTTATTAAGTAACTGTTTATAATGCTTTATCAACAAGAAAAGAGGACCTCATTTAATGTCAGCCAAAAGCACAAGGTAAGAGAGATAAAAATAAAAACTGGCAGGGTTGGAGGCATTTGTTTTCGGTAAACATTGGAATCGAGCATGACATTCTGTGGCATATAAAAGCGAGGACGGGCGTTTGTTTGGTGAGATATGGCTGGTGTCAAAGACAAACACATACGCAAAAAATGAGGTCGTTGGTCGGGAAAATGGGTAAGGATAAGACTATAATAGTCACTAATAATTGGTTGGATATTAAAGATAATAATGGCGGAATATGAGGGAGACGCGCGACGCCGGGCCACAAGTTGAGGTCATTGTCGTGATATTTATGTCGGAACAAGGGCTGAAGGCATTTTATTTGATATTATGATGCCAAAAAAAACAAAAAACAAAAAAAAAAAAAACAAAAACAAAAAAAAAAAACAAACAAAAAAAAAACATTGCGATTCTTTAGTTTGTGCTTGCATTGTAAATTGTTAATGTTGCCATTGGTGGAGATAAATCATCGAACCGACTTTCGCAATGACTTTATAATTGTAAAGACTCATTAAGTGCGAATTTCCGTCGCGTACAATTTTTTATAACCTTGATGTGACAAAGAAATATATGCTGCAACTAATTAATAAGCACCTCTATATCTAATAATTACAACCTTAACTACGTTTAACGAAAAATGCTCAACATAAAAAACAGTATTAATCTCTTATAAATTTGCATAACACCAAATTTTTTTATGTCTACAACCTTACGTCAATAGAACGAAACAGCCTGATATTTACTCGCTTTTTAGTTTTAAGATGCGGGCATGAAATATATATCTTAAAATATATAGTATCATTTTTTATAGAATTCTATAAATTTTAGGCCGGGCAACGTTAGTTACGATCTTATTTCCTGCAGCGTTAGTAGCAACTATCGTTGTGGTCTCACATTTAAAATTACGAGAAATATATATATAAAATATGGTTTTAAAGTATGCTATATTTATGGGTTATAGTGCATAATATCAAGGATAGTGCCTATGTTAATATATAAGTGGACACTGAGGTCAATACCTAGCGGCGACAGTCTGTTTCTGTTAAACGCAATCTTCTGAAGGTTGTGTTTAAGCATGAAAAACAATCGCCGCTGTATATTGACCTCAATGTCCATGTTTGTATTTATATAATATACATTTGTATGTATATCATCTGTATGTATATCATCTGTATTTATATAATATACATTTGTATGTATATCATCTGTATTTATATAATATACATTTGTATGTATGTTATCTGTATTTATATAATATACATTTGTATGCATATTATTTGTATGTATATAATATATATTTGTATGTATATTATCTGTATGTATATAATATATATTTTATATATATTATCTGTATGTATATAATATACATCTGTATGTATATTATCTGTATTTATATAATATAAATTTGTATGTATGTTATCTGTATTTATATAATATACATTTATATGTATGTTATCTGTATGTATATAATATACATTTGTATGTATGTTATCTGTATGTATTTAATATACATTTGTATGTATATTATCTGTATTTATATAATATACATTTGTATGTATGTTATCTGTATTTATATAATATACATTTGTATGTATATATATATAAGTGTATGTGAAGTAGAGGTTTTAAAAATGTGTCCTGTTTAAAGAGCCATATTATCTCAGGGCACACCTAAATCATATAATATCATGTGATGGTAATACTCAACATTGAGGTGGCGGCCATCATGGATAATGTAATAAATAAAGTATTTTAGAAAAATGACCTTTATATTTAACTAGTCGAATTAGTCCCGCCTTGCTGCAAGTCACTTTTCTTTTTTTTTTTTGGTGAGTAAATGATGATTGATTTTAAATCTTCCTTCTTCACATGCTCCCTCTCCCTTTCTATAACACCCAATGTCGACTATTTGTTTATCTTTGAAAATAATAATAATGTAGCGTTCTTTGGTTTTAAAAAATAAATAAGTGTTGGAGGGGGGGGGAGATTTGATAAAAATCGCCTGAGGATGGCGTAATGTTGAAACCAAGGTAGCGGATTCAACTGACCTCAAGATTTTTAAAGTTAAAACCTCCACGTTATTTTCACTTTTATTTTATTTTTTCACGTGTATAGAGCACTTTTTAACACTACTATTTCCTGGTCAGATTCAACTCTGACCATTAATCTTTTTATGTAATTATATATATATATATATATATATATATATATATAAAACGGACGTCATGTTATAGGCAAATTGGAAAACAATCAAGGACACACTCAATATAACAAATGAGGAGGGAAAGTTGGAACGCGATTAAAAAAAGAGATAAATTTTAATTACAAATAATTAAAATTATCTCTTTAAATTTATCTTTTTTTTTTCTTTTTTTTTTATAAACGCGTTCCAAATTTCTCTCATTCGTTATATTGAGTGTATCTTCGATTATTTTCCAATTTACCAACGTATACCTTTGAAAAAAATATTGGCCGAAAGGTACCTAAGGTATAACATGACGTCCTTTTTTTTAAAATCTATGTTTTATTTTTGCGGGTACGAATCACTTTAAATATATATATATATATATATATATATATATATATATATATATATATATATGTGTGTGTGTGTGTGTGTGTGTATTTATGAATTCAAAACCTGCGGAGGGTCGTTTGGGGGATCTTGTGGCACGTAGTGCACCAGGTCTCTGTATTCGGCCATTCAAAAAGTGTGGATGGTCCTGCACGAAACCTTTACCACTATAATCAAAACTCATGTGCTGTTGTCGGGCTGTCAGTTTCCTAGGAACTGATCTGCTTGACCCTCATATGTTGAATTCGACGGGAGAGTCAGTATATATATATATATATATATATATATATATATATATATATATATATATATATATATACATACACGTTGATATATGATCAAGTGAACACTAATAATATAAAATATTAAAACTGATACACAAAAAGAGCTCAATGTATTTATTATAACAGAGCATATAAATTACATAGAAAGAAATCCAAAATTACCTCATTCAAATAGCTATTTCAGCCAACAAAACTTATTTATTGGCTTGGTCAACTCAGAGGTGACAAAGACAATAAGTCTTGTTAGCTAAAATGGCTACATGAATGAGGTAATTTTTTTTTATTTCTATTCTATGTAATATATATAAGCTATAATTATGGAATTTAACTTCACTTTTTAAAATTAATACCGGATTTTATGATTAACCTTAATCGGTTAATAATGAATTTTAATAGAATAGTGAATATGATATAGTAATTAGATGTTTTAATTTCATTAATATTATTACAAATACTGAAATTACTTTGTTACTTTGTTACTTTGTTCTGAAAAGAACTGATTTGCCATTTTCACGGAGATTTCGCCGGTTGCAATTCGGAATCATGAAAACGCGATAGCAACGTTAAACGTCAGAAGCTTTCTGCATCTTCTTTCAGGGAGAAAATTTAAGGTTGGGATGAGATTGTTGCAATTCGGAATCATGAAAACGCGATAGCAACGTCAAAGGTCATAAGCTTTCTGCATCTTCTTTCGGGGAGAAAATTTAAGGTTGGGATGAGATTGTTGCAATTCGGAATCATGAAAACGCGATAGCAATGTCAAAGGTCATAAGCTTTCTGCATCTTCTTTCGGGGTGTAAATTTAAGGTTGGGATGAGATTGTTGCGTTCTAACGAATGGAAGGTTTGGCGTCAACAAGCAACTCAGCAGCATGCAGCGGTTGGTTTTGGGTTCATACAAACCTTTATTGTGGCAATAGATCGGCGACCAAAACGGGACACACGGTTGCTAGAGCAAATAGCCATATAGCACCGACGGGCTGGGGACGAATGGGGTTTGCTTCGTTCTTTATTCGATTGCGTGGGCACTAGGTATTCCGAATTTGGGCTCCTACCGACCTGAAGGAGGAGGAAATACACGTGGGTGCGATTAAAAAACAGCGATAGAAATAAAAAGTATAACCAGAGTGGAAAAAAAAATCACAGGATCCATAGGGCTAACATTTTCTGTTTATAATAAAGACCTTCACCAAATCCATAGGGCTAACATTTTCTGCTTACAATTAACACCATCACCAAATTGATAGGGTTAACAATTTGTGCTTATAATCAAAACATTCACCGAATGAATAGGGCTAACATTTTCTGTTTATAATAAAAACCATTACCAAATCCATAGAGCTAAAATTTTCTCTTTTAATAAAGACCTTCACCAAATCCATAGGGCTGACATTTTCTGTTTATAATAAAGACCTTCACCAAATCCATAGGGTTAACATTTTCTGTTTATAATAAAGACCTTCACCAAATCCATAGGGTTAACATTTTCTGTTTATAATAAAGACCTTCACCAAATCCATAGGGCTAACATTTTCTGTTTATAATAAAGGCCTTCACTAAATCCATAGGGCTAACATTTTCTGCTTATAATTAACTCCATCACCAAATCAATAGGGTTAACAATTTGTGCTTATAATCAAAACATTCACCAAATGAATAGGGCTAACATTTTCTGCTTTTAATTAAAGCATTCATGAAATTGACAGTGCTAAAATCTTCTGCTTATGATTAAAACCATCACCAAATTGATAGGGTAAAATTTTCTGGTTATAATTTAAATGTTCAGCAAATCGATAGCGCTTACAATTATCGTCATTTTTATAAGCGGGCGGTAATCTTAGGCCGTTTAAAAAAAACAATAAACTAGGTGGAATGTTATAATTACGATTATTAAAACCGATAACAAAACCAACAAAAAGGTAAACAAGTTAATGCAAACAAAAAGACGAGGAGGAGGTTATTTTGTGCCGTGTCCCTTCAGGACGTGAGGGATCATGAGTCTCCACAATTTCTCATCTTTCTCCTATCTTGTCTATTTATTACTAGTTCCACTCCCTGTTCTGTCCATTTGCACAAGCTTAGGTTGGTTTCTCGGTGCTTCACATCCCGTCATTATATCATGTACGTGTCGAATTCTCCAAACCCTCTTTCCTCATGCTATGACTCAAAAATTTCGACAGTCGTTTTCCGATTCTAAGTATGTGCCTTTTTGTTTCTTTTTTCTCCTTTTGTTTATTTTTTCTCCTTTTTTTTAATTTTTTTCCATTTTGTTTCTTTTTGTTCTTATAATGTGCTTCTTCTGTTTACTGTATTTGCATCGTTCTTCTGTCGAAAGATGTTTAATTGATGCATTTCCTCCGGAGCAGTCGACGTCGAACGGTCAGATCATTCCAGAGTCTTAATAAAGGAAATGTAGTTTTCGGTAGGGTTTGACCCAGCGTCCTTTTTATTAAGGAACCTATCTCAGAGACAAATGTTTCGTTGTGAAGTTTTTCGTGGCTGAGCGATCTAGAGCACAAGGTTCTATTACCGCATTTGAGAAATGCACATCTTTCATTGGTGCCCGTCAAAGCACATACCCGTATCTTTATTTTCATATATATATATATATATATATATATATATATATATATATATATAACACATATGAAAGGTTGTTAAGTGGCTCATTTCTCAAATTCTGACCAAACACCAGAATTTTAGGGATATTGTTGATAGATATGAACACACTTACAAAAATAAACATAAATAGACTTGGATAGATATGAACAGACTTAAAGGGATAGATAGATAGATAGATAGATAGAGATTATCAGAGACAGATAGATGGATAGATATTATAAGAGGTAAATAGACGGATAGACAGATATGAACAGAAATAGATAAATAGACAGATATGAACAGAGATGCATAGATATTATCAGAGATGGATAGATATTATCAGAGAGACATTATCAGAGACAGATAGATATGAACAGACGTAGATAGATATGAACAGACTTAGATAGAACTTATGGTAGAATCAAAATATACAAACAATTACAGCAGAGGTCAACAAATCCGTGATATTTCAAATCCCGCATCAACTGAACATCCGCTCGGCGCCAAATAACAATGGTGCGGAAAGAGGTAGTATTTCAAGATGGCTGCGATCTAAGCATTTATAGACATTTTTACAATCTGAGTATTACAGATTTACAAAGTGCAGACTATTACAGTCGGTCATAGTTCAGTTTTAAAGTCATTCAAGAGAACAGGGCGATGACACATTTAAGATTTCATTTCGAATATTCGGCCAGTTAGACAAGACGTGGCACAAGTCAACGGATTAATTCATAATCGATTTAGCATATAGCAGACGATAAGAAAGAAATAATGATAGAAAGAGAGGAAGAGAAAAGATAAACGGAGGGGGAGAATCTTTATGAAAAGAGGAAGAAAGAAAGATAGAAAACAAAGAAAGAGAGGAAGAAAGAAAGAAATAATGATCATTACGAAACAAAGAAAGAGAGGAAGAGAAAGAGAAAGAGAAAGAAAGAGAGGAAGAGAAAGAGAAAAAGAGAAAGAAAGAGAGAAAGAGGAAAAGGGGAAGAGAATGAAAGAGAGAGAGGGGAAGAGAATGAAAGAGAGAAAGCAGAAGAGAATGAAAGAGAGAAAGCGGAAGAGAATGAAAGAGAGAAAGCGGAAGAGAATGAAAGAGAGAAAGAGGAAGAGAAAGAGAATCAAAAAGAAAAAGATGAAGAAAAAGAAAGTGAAAGAGGAAGAGAAAAAATGATACTTACGAGAGGAAAAGAAAGAGAGAGAAAAAGAAAGAAAGAGTGAAAGAAATAATGATATCACGAAAGAAAGAGGACGAAAGAAAGTGGAGACTTTATGAAAATAGAAATTGGTTTATTGATTTGTCTTTCACGAATTATCAACCCTTTTTGGGTTATACAAAAACAAAACCCATTTTAGTTTTTAAGAGTAATTCTATGTTTTTTTTTTTTGCAAGTTTTCATTAACAGTTTTTTGAGAATAACGATTTTCCTGATACAAGTCCTACATTTTAACGGATACCTTGGGGAGATGATTCCAATTTTTTCCAGTGGCATTTGCGCGTAAGTAAAAGTAAAGAAACCAGACTGAAAATCGAACTCGGCTCCCCGATTTCATATTCCGAGCCTCTATCCAATGAAAATAGAAAGTGAAGAGGTAAAGAGACAGAAGGAAGAGCTGAAGATGGACCACGTCAATGATGCGAGCATATTGAGGCATATTGTTTAGGTTCGAATTCCGATCTTCATCGCAATGTTCATTGGCGGACAAATGTCTTTGGGAATGGAACGATTCCATCTCTTCTCCGCCTTGTGCCTAGAGTTATTTTCGTGTATGTTACGCTTCTAGAGGGTATGCTCATACGACCACCCGTTAGCTGTCGACCGCACAACATGCTTGCAGAACTTTGTGATCACCGGACCAGCTTACTTTTTCATAACGATGTTATTTTCGGCACAATTTTTTTTTCTCTATCTTGAAATAAAATCAGTATAAAAGAAATAAAACATGGTGTTCAAAACCAGACTGAAGAGGGACGGCCTCTGCCAGGTTATGTTGCTCTAGTTACATCCACTGATGCATTGGTTGCAATAAAGGCGGTGCTTGAACGACTCAAATGGGTTAGAGAAATCGTGATCTTGGTCGGTGAAAGATATACTTATATAATTGACAGTAATGTCAATAAGTGACACGATTCTCATTTTCTCGCTCTTTTCCTACTAAACTTGTTAATTATCTTGATCCTGTGTCTAATGAAGGCAACATTATCTTCCTTTGCAGATTCTTGAAACTGTGGTGCAAGCAGATGGGCAAGTCTTCTCAGTGAATTGTGAAAAAAGAAAAAAAATAATAATTATGGGAAGGAAAAGGCTTTTTTTTTTTTACGCCGAACGAAATCTTCTTCCGGTTTGCATTTATACAACCGGCGAATGTTTTAATGACATAAATCAACAAAAAGAAGGACATGTAAAGAGCCGCCATTTTTTTTTTTTTTTTGGTCTGGGATGACATCACTTCCGCTAGAAACGTTTCCTTTGATCAATCCCTCGTATCTAACAATGGTGAACTGTTTTTGCTAATAAAGACGTAGAGAGATACATCGTGTGTGTGTGTGTGTGTGTGTGTGTGTGTGTGTGTGTGTGTGTGTGTTGGTCTACATATGAAAACAAATGTATAACAAATCTACACAGTCCGTTAAAAATAAAAATGAACTTTGACAATGGCTAAACGAGTAGCCGAAAGCCCTCGGATATAGAGAACATTCGGACAATTTTTTTACATCCAAGGCTATAGAACCCAGTCTTTCTGAAAAATAGAATACAGGAATACAAGAAAAATTATAAAAAAGCTTAATCGCAATACCTTATCATTAGTCTTTAATGAAACTTTATATTATATATATATATATATATATATATATATATATATATATATATATATATATATTTACTCTCCTGTCGAATTCGACGTATGAAAGTCAAACAGATCAGTCGCTAGAAACTGACAGCCCGACAACAGCACATGAGATTTGATTATAGTGGTGAAGCTTTCGTGTAGGACCAGCCACACTTTTTGAAGGGCCGAATCCAGAGACCTGGTGCACCGAATGCCACAATGTCCCCAAACGACCCTCCGCAGGTTTTGAATTCAGAATTGTCCTTCTCCTAGACCAATTGCCATCCAAGGCTATAGAATCCAGTCTGTCCCCTATTTATCCATAGCTGGAGGGAGAAGAAGAGAATTCACACCTTTCCCAAGTAAGTGAATGTAATGGATTCGACTGGAATTCGAACTCGGCTCGGATTCCTCAATCGAAGCCGCTATACATTACTCCACCGCGCGCGTGCGTGCGTGCGTGTGTGTAATTGTTTTTGTTTTCTTTAGCGACTTTTATGGTTTATTTAATGTTGAATGCTGAATGTAAACGCAATTTTATGGCTTCAACTAAATATATTTTAAACGTAACTGTATACTTTCAAGTACAGATAAAATGTATTGGTCATCTTGCTTTAAAAATGTATTGTTGGTCATTTTACTATAACTATGTATTGTTGGAAAGCTTTTTAATATAAAGGACACATGGCACAGTTAGATCCAGTGACATGACCCAAAGAGTATGAGTTCAATACTCGGTTAAGACGGTGGAGAACTTGGAGAGGGGAATTAACAGGAGATAATTGACATCCATTAAACATGACACGTGGAACTAGAACAGTCTACACCAGTGAGCGAAATATAGGGTTCAATTCTACATTCCAACCACCTGAAGAAGGCTGGAACATACAATAGCCGAAACGGTGTGATAAATATGGCAACAAAGATGAGGACGATAGTTCGAACAATGTACCTCATCTCAGAAATATAGGCAGATACTTAAAAATGTTTTGCTGGTATTTTTGCTATAAAAGAATTTATACTTTTATAGTGTTTATTTTTTTTTTGGGGGGGGGTCATAATTTTCCCATAGCTAGGACCCTAACAGGTACTACCACTGCAGGTCAGGGTGAACCTGAGAACAACAGGTATTAAGACCTCAAAATTCCGATCAGTGGTTTTGCTGCCGGATGTAGTTTATCGTCATGCCCAAGGTGGCATTTAAGCTAGCTCCTGTGGGGGACTCTTGGTTTGGCCATCCTCACAATTATCATTGAACTGTTAAAAGGTAAGCTTAAACATTAATTCAATACTTAAATGCAGCGATCAATTTTGAGTTCTTCTGTAGTTTATTGATGCCTATCGCATCTACGCCTCCCTAGCTATTGCGATGATGGCCAAATCAAGATCCTCCACAAGAGATAGCTTAATGCCGTCCGATAAAAAAAAAATGCGCACTGCAATTTTGGATACAAAAGGAAAATAAGAGTTACTGCCCTTGAACCATGAAAGCAACGATAATGGCTAATATAATATATTAATATATATTTTAATTTCGCATAATCTGGCAACCCTGAACCTAAGCTCAACGAAAATCGTTCACTGCGCCAAACATTTTTAGAGCTTTTGAATGAACTATGAATCATTGAAATCGGACCAGTGGGAGCGGAAGAGTTGCTTGGACACACACATACTGTACTTTATATATAACATTTTTATTTTATTTATCCATTAAGATTTATTAATAACGCTAATGTGATTTATTACACATTTCACTTTTTCAAAAGGAAAGAGTTCTGACAGTTGGAAATAATTTCATTCGTTTTTATTAAATTATTCACGTTACCTAAATTATATAATCTGTAGCTTAATGTTAATTGGTCTATAAAAGAAAAAAAGTAAATTTAATATGCAAGTTATTTTAAAAATATTTAAAATATAGCAGTCTTATAAAAGAAAATGAAATATTATATATATATATATATATATATATATATATGTGTGTGTGTGTGTGTTTGTTTCTTTGGTCACGTGGTATGATTTTGATTACCGCCTATAAATATGCTGTTTCTCTTTTGCCTCTTAGCCAGCTTTCCCTGACGATCCGCTTAGGTGAAACCTGGGTAGGTTTGTCTGTCTCACTAGGTTTGACTAGGTCTGCTCTACGGTTGTATTGAGCTCTTTTGTTAGTTTGTTGTTTACTCGTGTCGGGTTTTTTTCTTTGGGCTTTAAACCTGTATCTGTGCGATTTTTTTCGACAGACTTTCATGTTTCTAGCTCTTTCTTTTTTTAAAACCTTTTGATTTGATTATTGGCAAATCAAGAATTCGAAGGTTTTTCGAAACGAGTATAGTTATATATATGCCTAGATATTTAAGCAGATTATGTTCACTCAAACATGTTTCATTGAATAATATCGATATATTATGTCTATTTATTTTTATAATAATCATTTGCAGTTCTCTAATCAGTCTCTTGATAAGATGAAATTCATCAAGGAAGGCACCAGACTTTTTCCTACCCAAGTACTTTCGATCTACTCGAAGATCATCCTCAGGGGTAAATTACGAAGACAAACTTATTGTAACCGTGATGAATTTTCGTTGTGAAAACACATCTAAAAATACTATCCTGTCCACCTTCAGAGTAAAGGAAAATACTTGTTGACAACACCAATATAATACACCACGAAAATAATAAACAAAAACACCAATTTCTCGAGGTCCTCTATATCAAAAGCAACCAACCAACACTCAACAAAATTTATTACGAGTGCAGCAGCAACGTGTTCAAGTGAATATAAGAAACATTTAATGGCATTTTGCATGTTACCAATTTTTGGTCTGCTTCATTATACTGGGATGCTTGTTTTGAAAAAAAAAATCCATAGCTACAACAGATAAATTTAAAAATAAGCATAATAAAGCGCGTTCACGCGTTTTTTTTTTTTTTTAAATAACAATGACAACGAAATGCAGATTTTATCACAGTTACAAGAAGTTTGTCTTTGAAATTTTCCCCTAAGGATGATCTTTGAGGAGATCGAAAGTACTTGGGTAGGAAAACCTATGTCGCCTTCCTTGATGAATTTCATCTTAACGTCAAGAAAATGATTCGAGAACTGGAAAAGATCAGTATAATAATAGACATAATATGACTATATTATTTAATGAAACAGACAGACGCACACATATTTTATATCTATATATATATATATATTCAGATAGAGTAGTGTATCTTTGAAGGAATAAAATGAATAAGACTATTCTTAGCCAACGCGTTTCGGCCTCTGAGGGACTTAAACTGCCTCAGGGGACGAAACGCGTTGGCTCAGAATAATTTTTCCTCTTGTCTTTTTCTTCATATATAATATAGTTCAAAAGCTTGAGCCTACCCGTAGAATTAGCATGGAATGAACTTGACAGAAAAGTGGAAACAAAAAAAAAAAAAAAAAAAAAAAAAAAAAAAAAAAGCGCTCTTAGAGTCATTGAAAAAAAGAATGGAATCAATTATCAAATTTATACTTTGAGAAACTTTTCCAGAGAATGCCAAAAATTTATGCTGCAGTAATCAAGGCTACAGGAGGATATTTTGACGCGAGCAAAATTTAATCATAAAATGCTTTTTTTTTATCATAATAAAGTTTCTTATAAAGAAGTCATGTCTCATTTTTTTAACCATGTGTAATAATTTTCGCTTATTTAAAGTACAAAGCAACTACTTTTGGGGCCAATTTAAAAATTTAACAGTGAGTGACATCAAACATTTGAACTGTTATATATATATATATATATATATATATATATATATATATATATATATATATATATATATA